AATAAAATAATTTAAAAACTACTAATATTATTTCTCTTCTTATTGAAAATCTCATTTTTTTTTATTTTTAATAATACTAAAAGTCCTTATCTTCATATTTATATACTTTAGTATTTAAATGCAGTCTCCTCTGTTACTTTTTTACATATCACGTTTGATTTTGTATCTTGGTAAAGTATGAAACTCATGAATGTTATATCTATACATATATACTGATGTATAAAATTGATATCAACTTAATGTTTTATAACATTTTTTTAAAATTTTACTCCAAGATTGTAATTCCTTTTGATTACTGATGTAACTCTTTCTTATTATAGTAACGTTTTTCTTTATCAACAAATAATACAGCAGAAATAAAAATGTCTTCCAATTTCGTTCAAAACGAAAGTCTAACACTAAATTTATAATTCATGTTATATATATACACACACACAGTTTTATAATAAGTTTTCTAATATAACCTGCATCTTTAAAATACGTTGAATTTAACTTACCAGAAATATTTAAAAAATAATCAATCGCCACCTTGACTTATTAACATACATATTTTATTAAAATACGTTATACACACTATCATCCATTTTTCCTAATTGAAATGAGTTCACAACCCAAGTGTAATTAAATAAATATTAATTTATAACTTACTGACATTTATAACCATTAATAATTTTTGTCACAGACATTAGCATACAATTGATTACTAATTCTATTCTTATCAACATATCCCATTTTCTTACTTTATTATTTAGATTTTATAATTATTTTTAAACTCAATTAAATATCTACATAAAATAATATTTTATGAAACTTTTTTTTAAAAAAATAATAGCTTTTTTAATAAGGAAAATAATACTTGAACAACCATTTTTGACAACATTTAGACACGCGCACACGTGTCAAAATCCGAGTGGTCCATTTTCATTTAATTTTTCCAACTGGACCACTCAGATTTTGACACGTGTGCACGTGTCTAAATGTTGTCAAAAATGGTTGTTCAAGTATCATTTTCCTTTTAATAATGATGACAAAAACGTGTTTCCCCCGGTATTACTAAGTAGGAAAATGTTATTTGGACAACAAAAGTTTGACACAATTTTGACAACGGCGACGTGGCAGCTGTGCATTGGCTCAGTGAACCGGGGTGAGGGGTATTTTGGGTTTTTTCTGGTTTGTTTTCAATTCACTGAGCCAATGCACAGCTGCCACATCGCCGTTGTCAAAATTGTGTCAAACTTTTGTTGTCCAAATAACATTTTCCCTCTTAGTAATACCGGGGGAAACACGTTTTTGTCATCATTATTAAAAGGAAAATGATACTTGAACAACCATTTTTGACAACATTTAGACACGTGCACACGTGTCAAAATCTGAGTGGTCCAGTTGGAAAAATTAAATGAAAATGGACCACTCGGATTTTGACACGTGTGCGCGTGTCTAAATGTTGTCAAAAATGGTTGTTCAAGTATTATTTTCCTTATTAAAAAAGCTATTATTTTTTTAAAAAAAAGTTTCATAAAATATTATTTTATGTAGATATTTAATTGAGTTTAAAAATAATTATAAAATCTAAATAATAAAGTAAGAAAATGGGATATGTTGATAAGAATAGAATTAGTAATCAATTGTATGCTAATGTCTGTGACAAAAATTATTAATGGTTATAAATGTCAGTAAGTTATAAATTAATATTTATTTAATTACACTTGGGTTGTGAACTCATTTCAATTAGGAAAAATGGATGATAGTGTGTATAACGTATTTTAATAAAATATGTATGTTAATAAGTCAAGGTGGCGATTGATTATTTTTTAAATATTTCTGGTAAGTTAAATTCAACGTATTTTAAAGATGCAGGTTATATTAGAAAACTTATTATAAAACTGTGTGTGTGTATATATATAACATGAATTATAAATTTAGTGTTAGACTTTCGTTTTGAACGAAATTGGAAGACATTTTTATTTCTGCTGTATTATTTGTTGATAAAGAAAAACGTTACTATAATAAGAAAGAGTTACATCAGTAATCAAAAGGAATTACAATCTTGGAGTAAAATTTTAAAAAAATGTTATAAAACATTAAGTTGATATCAATTTTATACATCAGTATATATGTATAGATATAACATTCATGAGTTTCATACTTTACCAAGATACAAAATCAAACGTGATATGTAAAAAAGTAACAGAGGAGACTGCATTTAAATACTAAAGTATATAAATATGAAGATAAGGACTTTTAGTATTATTAAAAATAAAAAAAAATGAGATTTTCAATAAGAAGAGAAATAATATTAGTAGTTTTTAAATTATTTTATTATTTACTGGAAGTTATATAATTTGTTAGATAAAAGATTATATAAATTTCACTTAATAATTAAAAATATTCTTCAAAGTTTTAATTATTTTAATTCATCTAATTAAATGTTAATTAATCAATTACATTTTTTTATAATATTAATATAATTAAGTATGTTTTTCATAATTCAACCTTTAATAAAAACGGATTAAGATTTTTAGTTTTATTTATCATAACTTAAGATGTTTTAAATTTATGATAGACCGAGACAAAATTAATCATATTAGTCTACTTTGCTATCCATAATTAGTATTAAATATTTATTTATTATTAACATTAAATGAAGTTGATGGTGTAGTATATTAATATTATTTATTAATTTTTCTTAGTTGAAATTTCACAATATAAAATAAAAAAGTTATCAAACAAAACATGTTATAGAAAGCAGTGGAAAAGTATAGATCAGATAAATATTTTAATTTTTTTTTCTTAATTTAGTAATAAATGAATATTATTATATTAATTTTAGTCTTCAAATTTGCCTAATATAATAAAAAAGTACGAGCAAATTTCAGCCAGCAATGCAAACAAATTCAACTAAATTTCGGTTAGAACCATCTGAAATTAATTCTACTAAATTTTGATCGAGGTTTAAATTTAACCAAATGAAACCAAGTTGACTTGGATCAAATTTTGTCAAACTTAACTCCAATCATAATTCGATTGAATTCAGTTAGAATTTGATTGATTGAAATTTAATCTAATTAAGTTGAATTAGTCCAATTGAAGACAAAAATCGTGTCAAGACGACCTGTATTAAAGTTCTAAGTCGAACCTTTCCAAAATACTCACTAATTTAATTGGAAATCATAAAAGACCGTCTGTATCGAAAATTTAATACTATACTTTTCATGTTTATATTTTGGTGCATAGGATTTTTGTCAACATTCTCACCTTATAACTTTTTTAACGGGAAGTTTTTGTTCTTGGTATTTTATATATCGAACTGGACTAAATCCTGTGGATTGAACGAAATTAAGAGCTCTACTTCTCAGTTAGTCCTATTAAACACTTTCAATGAGATAAGTTATTTATAAACTTAAAATTTATGATTAAAGTTTATTAATTAATAACTCATTTATCTCCAGCTGTATAAACTAGTTTTGCAAAACACATTTCAATGCATCATCTATTATTTCTCAAAATTACCAAAAGTATGTGACGTTTGTTTCATTATTTAATGAGCCTGAATTATAATTTTAAGAATTCAATAAATTCCTGTTATATTAATTAATAGGATTGAGAAAGAATACAAAGTTGATTGAAGTCTCAAAGTTACAGACCCATTAAATACTAATTACACTTAATTATCTCCCTAAAGTCCGTTACATACAGCTAAGAAATAATACATATCTAAAACAAAAGTATTACCATATCAGCACCCTCATTTATTATTAATAATAATAATAATAATAATAAAAGTTCTTATATGACAGGAGGAAATGAGAAAGTACAGTGAACGGTGATTGAGTGAGTGGGGTTATACAAAATGAAGTAACCGTCAGTTCCGAATAGCAGAACCGTTGTTTGAATTAACTCGTTAACTTTGCTGGCTGCATGGAACCTTCTCCTGCTCACTATCTCTCATCACTAACATCTATCTAATGCAACCAAGCGTTTCTTTCACAATGCCGATGCTCATTTAAATCTCTCTCTCTCTCTCTTCCTTCACTGTTCATCTTTTTCTCTCTTTCTTCTCCCTTTCTCTCTCTCAATTCACCACCTTTCAAGCCATGGACTCGCACTGGAGCTCTCGCCAGACGTACCATCTCCACCACCCTCACTTTTCTTCTGTCCTTTTCTCTCTTTTTCTCATCTGGGTCGTCGTTATTTTTCTGATCACGTTTTTTACTCTCTTTCTTTCAAGGTTTGAACGCTATGTTTATGACTATCTTGTCAAACGAAACATGCACCGCACTGCTGAGGTTTTCAGGAACGAGACCAACCTTCATCTGGATGCCGCTGCTTCTTCGACTGATGGTATATATAGCATTTCTTACTTCTTATTTTTTCTGCTATGTTTTGTTTATTCTCGGTGCTTCTTCCTTTGGTTGTTGCTCTTCTGGGTGGATTTCTTCCTCTCTGCATGTTATCTGCCATTTTTTGGAAAAAGTTTTGTCCTTTTACTTGTTCATGTGTTGGGTTTTGGTAGAAGAAATTACTGAAGGTTTTCATGGTAAGTAGTTATGTTGTTGGTTCTCTCATGAAATCTCTTTAATCCAATTCTTGTCCATCAATTTGAAAAACACGTTTTCTCTTTGTTTTTTTTTTTTAGTTCTGGGCGCAGAAAAGGAGATAGGAAGAAGAAATTATTTTATGTTCCTGAACCACAAATTTTCAATTAACAGAAAAAAAAAAGTTAATAACTTGTTAGAAACTGTTTTACAAAATGCACAATTTATGAAAACAAGTAATCTGCCCGCATGGTCACGTATCATTTAATAACCATTGATTGAAAAGTCAAATGTTGAAATTGTTATAAAAGTAAACGTACCTGGGAAATATATTAATTAAGTTTAAAATCTCAATTCTTGATTTTTAATTTGAGAGTTACTGTTTCATCATCCTAAAATGTGGACCTTAGAGGAATCGTGTTTTTAGATGCTGTGATAGTTACATGTTGCAGGGAAATTTTAATAACAGATTAGTCAAATCCTCAAATGGATACAGTTTGGTATATGACAAATATTTTAGAATTTAGACTACGGTTACAAAAGTAATTAAAGCACTTAAAGTATATATTGATATATATTAAATTATCACAGTCCAAAATTACATTTATTGTTTCCATTAAATGTTTCTCTCTCATGAGTAATTGCCAAACAAGATCATTTGAGGTGTTATAAGTTATAAAATCAATATCCATTTGGATATTCTTAAAGTATGCTATAAAGAAATCCTTTAATTCATGTTAAAATTTACAGTACGAGTGGTCTAGATTTTGATTCATATGTATTTTCAACAGATTTAGTCATTGTTTTCAATGATGAACCATCCGTATTAATACTGGTTATGAAAAAAAAAATTATCCCTCTCTTTCTAAATGTTATAGGCTATTTATCTACTAAGCGAAAGATATCTATTGCAATATGTGTACAATTAATTAATTAAACAACAAAACTTCTATGTCTACCTCTCCACGACACCCTTTATTTATTTCTCTTTTTGGTTGTAAAAATAGCATTTCTCAAAAGTAAAAAGAAGGTTCAGAGATGAGAATTAAAATTGCAATGGTTTTGTAAACTAGGAATTTTAACATGTTGGGTGTTCTTCAAAATATGATTTTTTTTACTGTATGTAATGTAAGAATGTCCTTTTTTTTACGGTATTTTAACAACAATGTTAGCACTTGCAATTATTAAACAACCAAATTTTTGAAAAATTTAATATTATTTTATTATTCGAGAGTTGAGACATCTCATTGAGTTTGTGGAAAAAGATTGACTTTTGGAATTGTAGTTTAGTTGTTTTGATTTTTGGATTGTCCAAATATCCTTTCAATTTAACAGTTACGAAGTTTGACTTAGTTGGCAAATTGAACGTCATGTGAGGAAACTTTGTCTGTTCTGTTTCTTATCTGTGCTGCTTTTCTTGAAGAAGTCTTATTGAGGGAATGATCCCATTATTTAGGGAATGTTTGGAAGAGTGTATTTAAGCCCTTTCACTACACCCAAGAAAACCCTGCAATGGCTACCACCACACACGACTGTTCGTAGCTGGTGAAAAACTACGATATGAAACAGAGGGTATTTGTGATTATTTTGTTTTCTTGATTAAAAATGTAAATATTTTTTAGTAAGAATTTCTTGGTGTTAGTTTCTCTTTAGTAATTTTTGTTCTTTCATATACTTTCTATTGCTTCTTTTAGGTATTAGTCTAGGGATTATTAATTGTTGTGTGGCAGTTTTTGTGACTGGAAAATGGGGGATTGATTTTTTCAGCTGTGGATGTCCCAGAAGGATTTTTGCTGGAGTGGTGGTCTGTCAACAATGATTTTGACTTCTTCAGACAAATGCATGTGAGTTACCTCTTCTTCTTATTGTAGCCAACTCAAGTTGGTTTATCGATGAAATTATGTGATAAAATCTCACCTGGGATGGAACTAGTTGCAGGAAAAACGTGGGTTTTTAGGAGGAATGCAAGGACGTAATGCTTTTCAAGAAGTAGGGTCTTCGATAAATGTTCAACCAATGTATCAATTTTCTAATAATTTTAATCCTGGTACGTTTCTTGCTCTGCTTCATTAGGCCACATTAGAGTATCTTAAATTGAATGACCTAGAAAATGTTGAAATCGTCTTGCCTCAAATGTGTTACTCCCTTTACACGACACCCATTTTAAGGGGGTCTTCAGTGAAAGCACCAATTGTCTGGAATTGAGCACAAGATAACTAAATCCAAAAACCTAGTTTATCAAGTGAGAGAGTCTCAAGACTTTAGTACTATATCAAGTAGCTCATACTACTTAATGTGGAATTTCTAACAGGAATAGTCAGAAAATTATGCATGACAAGAGTAGGATCTGTCTACTTTAGCATTAAGTGTTGAAACTGGATGTTAGTTAACTGACAACAATCTATACTTTCTGTGGATGACAGTTATGACTGTTAAAAATAATTAATAAATTTCTTCTTTTCATCTGATTTTTTATATAAAAAATCCCATCTCTAATATTTTACAACTTAGAACTTGAAAGATACACATTTTTTCTATTAATTCACTTGTGTAAAGTATTTAAATAAGCTAAAGAAAGGACATCAATATCATTTGAGCTTAAACATCTGAAAGATTAGCATGGTAGAAACCTTCATGATATCCTTAAATATGTTCTTGGTAGTTGATTATTATGAATAGAGGACAAGTAAAACTATTATTTCACTGATAACTTGGATGTTTCATAATAAAGTTTGGGTGACATATTCAGGGTCAATGCAAGCTCATCGTTCTCCCACCCCCCTCCCTTTACCTGCTACTCTCTTCTTCATATATATTTTTCTTTTTTGTTGCAGTTCAAGCACTCAACATAGGAAGCAACTTGATGCCATCACGTGTAATGAACATTACTTCATCTAATATATTTTAGTTTGCTATAACTTCTATTGTTGGATATTTTAATAAAGGCATTTTTTGGGCAGGTAACTGGTGAATGGCCAGTATTTTCCTCACCTTCTGCTCACCAAAAAGTAAGTGGTAAACTGCCACAATTTCTGTTCCCTTTTCCCCGTCAAGAGGCATTTGGTCAATTGCAACAACTTTCATCTTCACATCAAGACGTGGTGATGACACCAGTTGAGAAAAAAACAGAGGTTTCTAATGTCAATAGTGCAGGCGCAAATTCTGGATTTGTTGAGGTAATCTCAATTTACGCCCGATTTCATGTAATTATACTTCTAGTAGTCTCATTACCCTGGGAGAAATGTGATAGAGTTGCCAATGACTGCTTGTGTTTTTATAAATATAAAGTTTCTATACAATATTTTTACTATCAAGAGCTTAACTATTTATGTTAATAAAATATTTTTGCAGGAAACAGATCCGCTCATTGAGAATTTGTTAAAATCTTTTTGGTTGTTTGAACCAGATGAACCAAGCCTGTTTGACAAGTCAACAGTAGGACAGGTATTACATAATAGAATAATCCAAATTGGTGTATGTGTTATACAACTTGATTAATCATGTCTACTTTATATGGCAAAATTTTAACTCAATCTGTCGAAGTAATATACTCTATCATACACAAGGGATGATTTAGTGTATGCCTGGTTCAATTTAATTTGGAGAAATAATATACTTATCTCCTAGTTTCTTGAAAGAGCTTTTGGAAAAAAAGAAGTAATTATTCTCCAAAGAAAGTTGTACCCAAACGAAAGAATGTATTACTGTAAGGTATTCAAGTCAATTCATTACTTTCTTGTGGCACACATTCTTTGGAAATAAGACGTTTTTTGTTTCAAATAAAATATGAAATGTTTTCAAATTGTGAGAATTTGGTGATGTGTCTATGTGCATTGAGAGGTATAATCTATTCATCCTCTCAATAATTTTCTCTTCCCATTGTTTATTGGTTCTAGTTTGCTTCTCAATGTCTCATCAATGGAAGAATAGGTCACTAGTTATTGTTTGTCAAGCTTTAGTGTCGTTTGAAAGGCCACTTAAAATCTAAAATATTGGACATGCATGTGTCTCTATATGTATATGTAAACATAGGTTTGTTGATACCCTTGTATAATTGACTAAAATTAAAAATAGAGGTAGAAAAAAATAATTTTGGTATTCCCTATAATACAAAACTTGTATTATCTCGTGCTTTTGGCACTACAGAGCAGCAGAAATGCAGAGAATTTGGTGGAACGTGGAGTTGGAAACACTAGTATGAATACAATTGCTGGTTCAGCACAAGCACTAGAGGAGGATGATAACAAAAGTGACACAAGTGATTGTTCCAGCAGTTTCGAATTTGTTCTTTCTGATGCAGATGCCTCATCAGGTAACTATATTTTTAAGGGAGGATTAACTAACTTGAATGCATTAGTTGGTATTATCTTATTGCAGTCTGTATAACTTAATTTTTACATTGACCTCCCTTATGATTAGGACTGATTACAATTTCATCCCTGGTGATTGAAAAGTTACACTAGCTCCCTTACTTTTATGTATTATTATTAACGCTAACAGTTGTATCCCTAATTAATGTTGAATTGTCCATACAAATAGAGATTAATATAGTCAAGTATTGAATTAACATATTAATTGCAACAAGATATTCTTATTCTCCAAAATCTGTGGGAGATCAACTATATCCCCCAAGTTTTAGTACAGACAAAGAATGAGTTTTTGAGGCAACAAAGCATGCAATCAAATTAAAGGATTCATCATTAACAATATTGTCAATAACGCGGCACCTTTCTTACATGATTTCAACTATTCATATTTACATACACACACACACATACCTGTGTGTGGACTTTGCGTGTCATACCTTATTCCTGTTTCGTTCTAATTATGGAAAATTTGGCTTGCAGACCCTCAGTTGGAATCCAATGGAGAAACATAAATCAGTATCTTCAAGCATGGAATGTGATTTGTTGTCTGCAATAATGAATTCCCTTATGTAAGAGGATTTGTTACTATGATTTAATCAATGTGCAATACTGCAATGCTACTAAATAAGCTTTATTTTAGTTATATCCTTCTACTTCAGTTTTATATTGTACACTTATGCTAGTTACCTAAAATATCTATGTTGTTTCTTCTTTTGTCTTGTCCCTTTTGGGTGGAAAGAGGGATGAGCAGATATCGGATTTCAGGACTGGGAAATACTACATATCCATAGACTTTAGTTTCGTGTATGCTATCTAATAAAATTGTGATTCATTTGTTGAAATCAATTGAGATATGATATTCTCTCTAGTATTGTATGATTATCTCTTTATAACATCATGTTAATACATTTATACATAGTGATGATTAGATTATTTGTAAATTCATGCTATCTGGTATTTGGTAACAAAATACAATATGAATATACATTTTGCGTACACATTACAGTACTTATAATCTTTTGGACAAGTTTTAATACAAGGAGGAATCAGTTTAGTTTGTCATATAGAAAATTTTTTTGAGAGTAAACTAGAAAATTCTTCTGTTAATTATTCCATAAAAGAAATACTTAATAAACCATTTAGACCAAGGATTAATTAACGTAGTTCGGTACTTTTTTGTTGAGAATTCAAATGTGAGTTTAAGTCTCAAATTAGATAAAAATGAGAAACTTGAGCACCATATAAGGTAGAAGACATATAAACCCATTGTTTTAAGATTTTGGGTTGAAGGTGGTGTCATTCTTTTATGCAGTTTGATTCAAGTCTCATTGGTGTTTTGTCTCTCCAATGAGCCTACTTTCTTGACAAACCCATTAGTGGTATCAAAGTTGATGGTTAGTCTTGGTGACCAGCTCAGAGTGCAGTATGGTCGCATCGAAAGTCTTCCTAACAAGGGTTTCAGGTAAGCGTGTCCCATTAAAAATGAATGGCGATACGAAAAGGGGTACTGATGGTTGGAAATGCTTCTATCTTGAGGGGGGAACGTTCCACTGTGGAAGAGAGTCACCCTTGAGGGGAAGATTGTTGGGAATCCAAATGTGAGTCTAAGTCTCACATTGAGTAAAAATGAGAAAGTTGAGTACCATATAAGATAAAATACCTATAAACTTATTGTCTTAAAGTTTGGGGCTGAAGGTGGTGTCATTCTCTTATATAGTTTGAGTCAAGTCTCATTGTTATTGTGCCTTCCCAGTGAACCTCTTCTCTCGATAAATAGACCAAACACAACTTCCTTAGTTAAGTGATTGTCATTTTCTCCTCATTAAGTGTTACTCTAACCTTCTCCAGGATATATTTGTGGATGTCTACTCATCCACCTCNATGTTATCTGCCATTTTTTGGAAAAAGTTTTGTCCTTTTACTTGTTCATGTGTTGGGTTTTGGTAGAAGAAATTACTGAAGGTTTTCATGGTAAGTAGTTATGTTGTTGGTTCTCTCATGAAATCTCTTTAATCCAATTCTTGTCCATCAATTTGAAAAACACGTTTTCTCTTTGTTTTTTTTTTTTAGTTCTGGGCGCAGAAAAGGAGATAGGAAGAAGAAATTATTTTATGTTCCTGAACCACAAATTTTCAATTAACAGAAAAAAAAAAGTTAATAACTTGTTAGAAACTGTTTTACAAAATGCACAATTTATGAAAACAAGTAATCTGCCCGCATGGTCACGTATCATTTAATAACCATTGATTGAAAAGTCAAATGTTGAAATTGTTATAAAAGTAAACGTACCTGGGAAATATATTAATTAAGTTTAAAATCTCAATTCTTGATTTTTAATTTGAGAGTTACTGTTTCATCATCCTAAAATGTGGACCTTAGAGGAATCGTGTTTTTAGATGCTGTGATAGTTACATGTTGCAGGGAAATTTTAATAACAGATTAGTCAAATCCTCAAATGGATACAGTTTGGTATATGACAAATATTTTAGAATTTAGACTACGGTTACAAAAGTAATTAAAGCACTTAAAGTATATATTGATATATATTAAATTATCACAGTCCAAAATTACATTTATTGTTTCCATTAAATGTTTCTCTCTCATGAGTAATTGCCAAACAAGATCATTTGAGGTGTTATAAGTTATAAAATCAATATCCATTTGGATATTCTTAAAGTATGCTATAAAGAAATCCTTTAATTCATGTTAAAATTTACAGTACGAGTGGTCTAGATTTTGATTCATATGTATTTTCAACAGATTTAGTCATTGTTTTCAATGATGAACCATCCGTATTAATACTGGTTATGAAAAAAAAAATTATCCCTCTCTTTCTAAATGTTATAGGCTATTTATCTACTAAGCGAAAGATATCTATTGCAATATGTGTACAATTAATTAATTAAACAACAAAACTTCTATGTCTACCTCTCCACGACACCCTTTATTTATTTCTCTTTTTGGTTGTAAAAATAGCATTTCTCAAAAGTAAAAAGAAGGTTCAGAGATGAGAATTAAAATTGCAATGGTTTTGTAAACTAGGAATTTTAACATGTTGGGTGTTCTTCAAAATATGATTTTTTTTACTGTATGTAATGTAAGAATGTCCTTTTTTTTTTACGGTATTTTAACAACAATGTTAGCACTTGCAATTATTAAACAACCAAATTTTTGAAAAATTTAATATTATTTTATTATTCGAGAGTTGAGACATCTCATTGAGTTTGTGGAAAAAGATTGACTTTTGGAATTGTAGTTTAGTTGTTTTGATTTTTGGATTGTCCAAATATCCTTTCAATTTAACAGTTACGAAGTTTGACTTAGTTGGCAAATTGAACGTCATGTGAGGAAACTTTGTCTGTTCTGTTTCTTATCTGTGCTGCTTTTCTTGAAGAAGTCTTATTGAGGGAATGATCCCATTATTTAGGGAATGTTTGGAAGAGTGTATTTAAGCCCTTTCACTACACCCAAGAAAACCCTGCAATGGCTACCACCACACACGACTGTTCGTAGCTGGTGAAAAACTACGATATGAAACAGAGGGTATTTGTGATTATTTTGTTTTCTTGATTAAAAATGTAAATATTTTTTAGTAAGAATTTCTTGGTGATAGTTTCTCTTTAGTAATTTTTGTTCTTTCATATACTTTCTATTGCTTCTTTTAGGTATTAGTCTAGGGATTATTAATTGTTGTGTGGCAGTTTTTGTGACTGGAAAATGGGGGATTGATTTTTTCAGCTGTGGATGTCCCAGAAGGATTTTTGCTGGAGTGGTGGTCTGTCAACAATGATTTTGACTTCTTCAGACAAATGCATGTGAGTTACCTCTTCTTCTTATTGTAGCCAACTCAAGTTGGTTTATCGATGAAATTATGTGATAAAATCTCACCTGGGATGGAACTAGTTGCAGGAAAAACGTGGGTTTTTAGGAGGAATGCAAGGACGTAATGCTTTTCAAGAAGTAGGGTCTTCGATAAATGTTCAACCAATGTATCAATTTTCTAATAATTTTAATCCTGGTACGTTTCTTGCTCTGCTTCATTAGGCCACATTAGAGTATCTTAAATTGAATGACCTAGAAAATGTTGAAATCGTCTTGCCTCAAATGTGTTACTCCCTTTACACGACACCCATTTTAAGGGGGTCTTCAGTGAAAGCACCAATTGTCTGGAATTGAGCACAAGATAACTAAATCCAAAAACCTAGTTTATCAAGTGAGAGAGTCTCAAGACTTTAGTACTATATCAAGTAGCTCATACTACTTAATGTGGAATTTCTAACAGGAATAGTCAGAAAATTATGCATGACAAGAGTAGGATCTGTCTACTTTAGCATTAAGTGTTGAAACTGGATGTTAGTTAACTGACAACAATCTATACTTTCTGTGGATGACAGTTATGACTGTTAAAAATAATTAATAAATTTCTTCTTTTCATCTGATTTTTTATATAAAAAATCCCATCTCTAATATTTTACAACTTAGAACTTGAAAGATACACATTTTTTCTATTAATTCACTTGTGTAAAGTATTTAAATAAGCTAAAGAAAGGACATCAATATCATTTGAGCTTAAACATCTGAAAGATTAGCATGGTAGAAACCTTCATGATATCCTTAAATATGTTCTTGGTAGTTGATTATTATGAATAGAGGACAAGTAAAACTATTATTTCACTGATAACTTGGATGTTTCATAATAAAGTTTGGGTGACATATTCAGGGTCAATGCAAGCTCATCGTTCTCCCACCCCCCTCCCTTTACCTGCTACTCTCTTCTTCATATATATTTTTCTTTTTTGTTGCAGTTCAAGCACTCAACATAGGAAGCAACTTGATGCCATCACGTGTAATGAACATTACTTCATCTAATATATTTTAGTTTGCTATAACTTCTATTGTTGGATATTTTAATAAAGGCATTTTTTGGGCAGGTAACTGGTGAATGGCCAGTATTTTCCTCACCTTCTGCTCACCAAAAAGTAAGTGGTAAACTGCCACAATTTCTGTTCCCATTTCCCCGTCAAGAGGCATTTGGTCAATTGCAACAACTTTCATCTTCACATCAAGACGTGGTGATGACACCAGTTGAGAAAAAAACAGAGGTTTCTAATGTCAATAGTGCAGGCGCAAATTCTGGATTTGTTGAGGTAATCTCAATTTACGCCCGATTTCATGTAATTATACTTCTAGTAGTCTCATTACCCTGGGAGAAATGTGATAGAGTTGCCAATGACTGCTTGTGTTTTTATAAATATAAAGTTTCTATACAATATTTTTACTATCAAGAGCTTAACTATTTATGTTAATAAAATATTTTTGCAGGAAACAGATCCGCTCATTGAGAATTTGTTAAAATCTTTTTGGTTGTTTGAACCAGATGAACCAAGCCTGTTTGACAAGTCAACAGTAGGACAGGTATTACATAATAGAATAATCCAAATTGGTGTATGTGTTATACAACTTGATTAATCATGTCTACTTTATATGGCAAAATTTTAACTCAATCTGTCGAAGTAATATACTCTATCATACACAAGGGATGATTTAGTGTATGCCTGGTTCAATTTAATTTGGAGAAATAATATACTTATCTCCTAGTTTCTTGAAAGAGCTTTTGGAAAAAAAGAAGTAATTATTCTCCAAAGAAAGTTGTACCCAAACGAAAGAATGTATTACTGTAAGGTATTCAAGTCAATTCATTACTTTCTTGTGGCACACATTCTTTGGAAATAAGACGTTTTTTGTTTCAAATAAAATATGAAATGTTTTCAAATTGTGAGAATTTGGTGATGTGTCTATGTGCATTGAGAGGTATAATCTATTCATCCTCTCAATAATTTTCTCTTCCCATTGTTTATTGGTTCTAGTTTGCTTCTCAATGTCTCATCAATGGAAGAATAGGTCACTAGTTATTGTTTGTCAAGCTTTAGTGTCGTTTGAAAGGCCACTTAAAATCTAAAATATTGGACATGCATGTGTCTCTATATGTATATGTAAACATAGGTTTGTTGATACCCTTGTATAATTGACTAAAATTAAAAATAGAGGTAGAAAAAAATAATTTTGGTATTCCCTATAATACAAAACTTGTATTATCTCGTGCTTTTGGCACTACAGAGCAGCAGAAATGCAGAGAATTTGGTGGAACGTGGAGTTGGAAACACTAGTATGAATACAATTGCTGGTTCAGCACAAGCACTAGAGGAGGATGATAACAAAAGTGACACAAGTGATTGTTCCAGCAGTTTCGAATTTGTTCTTTCTGATGCAGATGCCTCATCAGGTAACTATATTTTTAAGGGAGGATTAACTAACTTGAATGCATTAGTTGGTATTATCTTATTGCAGTCTGTATAACTTAATTTTTACATTGACCTCCCTTATGATTAGGACTGATTACAATTTCATCCCTGGTGATTGAAAAGTTACACTAGCTCCCTTACTTTTATGTATTATTATTAACGCTAACAGTTGTATCCCTAATTAATGTTGAATTGTCCATACAAATAGAGATTAATATAGTCAAGTATTGAATTAACATATTAATTGCAACAAGATATTCTTATTCTCCAAAATCTGTGGGAGATCAACTATATCCACCAAGTTTTAGTACAGACAAAGAATGAGTTTTTGAGGCAACAAAGCATGCAATCAAATTAAAGGATTCATCATTAACAATATTGTCAATAACGCGGCACCTTTCTTACATGATTTCAACTATTCATATTTACATACACACACACACATACCTGTGTGTGGACTTTGCGTGTCATACCTTATTCCTGTTTCGTTCTAATTATGGAAAATTTGGCTTGCAGACCCTCAGTTGGAATCCAATGGAGAAACATAAATCAGTATCTTCAAGCATGGAATGTGATTTGTTGTCTGCAATAATGAATTCCCTTATGTAAGAGGATTTGTTACTATGATTTAATCAATGTGCAATACTGCAATGCTACTAAATAAGCTTTATTTTAGTTATATCCTTCTACTTCAGTTTTATATTGTACACTTATGCTAGTTACCTAAAATATCTATGTTGTTTCTTCTTTTGTCTTGTCCCTTTTGGGTGGAAAGAGGGATGAGCAGATATCGGATTTCAGGACTGGGAAATACTACATATCCATAGACTTTAGTTTCGTGTATGCTATCTAATAAAATTGTGATTCATTTGTTGAAATCAATTGAGATATGATATTCTCTCTAGTATTGTATGATTATCTCTTTATAACATCATGTTAATACATTTATACATAGTGATGATTAGATTATTTGTAAATTCATGCTATCTGGTATTTGGTAACAAAATACAATATGAATATACATTTTGCGTACACATTACAGTACTTATAATCTTTTGGACAAGTTTTAATACAAGGAGGAATCAGTTTAGTTTGTCATATAGAAAATTTTTTTGAGAGTAAACTAGAAAATTCTTCTGTTAATTATTCCATAAAAGAAATACTTAATAAACCATTTAGACCAAGGATTAATTAACGTAGTTCGGTACTTTTTTGTTGAGAATACAAATGTGAGTTTAAGTCTCAAATTAGATAAAAATGAAAAACTTGAGCACCATATAAGGTAGAAGACATATAAACCCATTGTTTTAAGATTTTGGGTTGAAGGTGGTGTCATTCTTTTATGCAGTTTGATTCAAGTCTCATTGGTGTTTTGTCTCTCCAATGAGCCTACTTTCTTGACAAACCCATTAGTGGTATCAAAGTTGATGGTTAGTCTTGGTGACCAGCTCAGAGTGCAGTATGGTCGCATCGAAAGTCTTCCTAACAAGGGTTTCAGGTAAGCGTGTCCCATTAAAAATGAATGGCGATACGAAAAGGGGTACTGATGGTTGGAAATGCTTCTATCTTGAGGGGGGAACGTTCCACTGTGGAAGAGAGTCACCCTTGAGGGGAAGATTGTTGGGAATCCAAATGTGAGTCTAAGTCTCACATTGAGTAAAAATGAGAAAGTTGAGTACCATATAAGATAAAATACCTATAAACTTATTGTCTTAAAGTTTGGGGCTGAAGGTGGTGTCATTCTCTTATATAGTTTGAGTCAAGTCTCATTGTTATTGTGCCTTCCCAGTGAACCTCTTCTCTCGATAAATAGACCAAACACAACTTCCTTAGTTAAGTGATTGTCATTTTCTCCTCATTAAGTGTTACTCTAACCTTCTCCAGGATATATTTGTGGATGTCTACTCATCCACCTCATCATTTTTAACTCTGCTATGCATATTTCTTTCACGTACAACCATTTATGACTGTAGAACATCGATAATCTTTTAGCTTTCTTATAGGACATCCCTTTGATCTCAATATGAGCTTTGGGATCTCAATTTATGCTTGAATTTACTTATTTTCTTACACAAGAAAAGCTATCCTTTGGAGAGTTAAGATGTTCATATGACTATCAAAGTCTCAAAACAAGGGAACTCTTCCAATAAACTTTATAACAATAGAGAAGATCGTGGGTGAATCAACAATTGAAGTGTCATAGATAGACCAAATCTTCGTTCGAAAAGTGAAGGATGGAATTTTAGGTACAAGTCGATAGGGAACCGTGAATATTTTGGCTTTAGGATAGTGATAATGGCTATTTTACCAAGACAAAAAAGACTATTTATGGCAACTAGTTTTTGTAAGGAAAAAGTGCAATGCAAATGAATTCATGTGAGATTATTTGCATAATAGCCCCATTGAACAAATAAATCCATGATACAAATCTCTTCTATTTCTTGATTTCCTTGACCTCTTACCCTGAAGGAAGTCTACTTTTAAGAATTATCATACTGATATGACTCTTGAAGCTTGAGAAGAAGGGTATTGTTCCAACTACATGATAATGATGGAGAATATTGTGCAGTCAATCAACAATTGAATTGTCATTTATGGAATCAACCTTAGATGGAAAAGTTTATGAAATTTTTGGTGCAACTCGTGATTTGGTTGGGTACTGTGAAATTTTTGGCATTGGAATAACAATTCTTCCCATTTCATTGTGATAAAGAAGTCGTAGTCTATCATAACTAGTTCCTCCCAACGAAAATAGCTCAACAAAGATAAATCCTCTCGAGACTATTTGTAAAGTAGCTCCATTTAACTAATAGATGTACTAGTCATATTACCTAGCTCCTTCTATAGGAATTGAATTAGAGGAGGCCCATTTAACTCAATGGTGAGTAATGGCATGGTAAGGTGTAAGTCATCTACTCAAATCTAGTATGCAAAATCACGTGGAAACATATTGGAAGGCTTAAAGGTGCCTTGGTAAAGGAACAAGTACTCAATTCTAAGGAGTATGTTAGTATCTATGTGTAGATCTAAACTATGTAAATAAGCATGTGTTTGGGTACATGAAAAGTCACATGGAAACAAAGAAGTCTCAAAGGTTTCATGGTAGACAAAGAAGCCTTCAATGCCTACAAATAGACTATTAGTCAAGTTTGAAGGTAAATCAAGTAAAAAATCCTTAACTCAAGTTTCCTAGAAAAACATTACAAAGGGATTTTAATCGGAAGTATGTAATATTCAAGTCGAACACAAGGTATGATATAACGCCGTAATTAAGTTTCCAAATTTGCCAATAGACATTAGTAGCAAGTTTATATTGTTATTGCTTAGTGCAAATTATTATATAACCTTGGCCTACAAATTATGAATATGATATGAAAAATATTTTTTGGTATTCATAAAAGCAATAAAAGGTATATGCACAAGGTCAATGTGTTGGTGCGAAGACAAAACATGGAAAATCACAAGGGGTTTGTGATTATCCAATCCGAAACCTAATCCGAATAATGCTATTTTTGTCACATTAAATCTTAAGCAAGTCTCTTCAACTATGGCCAATTACCTTGGTGTAACCATCAATGTATCGGTTAGAAGTTGAGTAAAATTTTAATCGATCATTTTTTATCGTTAGGAAAGTTTTCAAAACAAGTAACAACTTTCAAATATTTGTTTGATACACGATGGTAGGCAACACATGCAAGGAAAAGAATTCACAGAAAAACAAATTAACAATGAAAAAGTGTCATTTTTAAAACCTTTCGATGAGAAAGATGGAATCATAATAGATTGTCTAAGGTAAGGTCCTTCCAAGGAAAATATGATGTAGATAAAGAAAGAACGAAGAATGTGATGAGTATAGATACACAATTTATATGGGTATGTAGTTCATTCGTTTACACTACTATCCTAAGACCTCCTTTGAAATGAACCTAAAACATTGTTGATGTGATGTAAATCAATATGTGAGATGTTAAGGTTGTTGGAAGCTTTCAATCACTATGGTAAGGAACATACTAGGACACCTCACCATTCCTCCTTCAATAAACTTGAAGATTTGAATCATAATTTTTAATGATTCTAAAAAAATTGTCATTTTTCAAAACTATCAACAACATAGATATAATCACGACCAAAGTCTACGACGAGGTCCTTCTGAGGCTGATATGCTATTGGTAAAGAAAGCAATTTCTACTTTCAAGGAATGCTATAGATAAAGAAAGTCATTCATTCACATTATTATGAAGGGGCTTTCATTAAAATGAATCTAGAATCTTGTGGTGTCATGGTGAATTCCATATGCAAGATGTAAGGCTGTTGAGAGATCCAATCACCATGGTGTAAGGAATATACTAGGAAACCTTAGCCTGATGCTCCTTCAATATACATGAGGTATTGAGTCACAATGTGGAATGATTCTAAAAGATGTCACTTTTTAGAATGTATCAAGAGGGATACAATCATGAAAATGTCCATGGTAAGGTCTTTCTGAGGCTTATATGGTGTAGTTAAAGAAGGAATTCATGGTTGTGAAAGAAATGGTACAAGTATAGATTCACAATGTATCTTTTTCCTTGGTCAAAATACTTTATCTAAATTGAAGCCACATTGTTGTGTGATGGTGAATCAATACTCAAGATGTAAGGATGTTGAAAAACCCAATCACTATGGTAAGGATCATATTAGGAAACCTTGGCCTAGTGCTCCTTCAATAAACTTAAGGATTTTAGTCACAATGTTCCAATGACTATCTTGTAGAATATGTAGAAACTAACTAATCACAAAGCAAAAGGGATTTTTTAGTTTGGGTGTTACTTTGTCCAATTAGAGGTTTGGAAAATAACCAATCACATACCAATAACAAGTTGGTCATCAAGAGTATGTTACCTTTTCTCTTAACAGAAATGAGAATGCTATACCATCATTATGTTGTTTGCTATCCCAACTATGTTGACACCACAAACAACATCAATCATATCCAATCACTAACCCTTAATAACTAGAGAATATTGAAGATGAACCAAAACCTTTGTCTAACCCAAAATAAGGTAATATGTGTTGTTTGAATTTTGAAGTTACCATCAATCATCACTTATGAAAATAATGACACCTATATATGCTGGCTAAAAATTAATTGTTAGGTAACTTATGTGGAGTAATCTATCTTCAAAGCATACAAGTGAGAACTTGCCTAAGCAAGGACAAAATACATAGAATATTAAGTTTCTCAAAAGTAGTTTTTAACATGCATCTTTGGGTCTAATCTAACTTTGTGGGGGCAGTTGATGGGAAGGTATCATTGGAAACTAGTTATGAGATTTTATGAGCTGGCCATGCCGATGAACAATTATTGATGAAGTTAGGGTGATACCTAGAAGAACTCTGACACTTAACTTAGGCAACTATTCATTGAGTAACAAAATTGAGAACGGGTCTTTGTAACTATGAGAAAGGACCTCATCATAGGTACATGGTGACCTTTTGGGATCATGCCCTTGGGTTCCCCCCTACCCTCCTTCACTCTCTGGACCTTATCTTACAACAATTGCACTAACTTGTGTCACAATTGATAGGGAATCTATATGTCCTACTATCTTGGGCATTCACAATATTTTTCTTTAGGCTGAACAAAGTATGCAACAAACAATGTGTCCAATAAGAGTAGTATGTGATTGGAAAATCAGGTTTTGATACCAATTGCAATATAAATAGTGAACAGAAATAGAGAAGGGAGGGAAATATAAGGAGATCAAACTTTCATTATTTCTAAAATATTGAACTACCTTCACTTGTAAAGCAAGGGATTTCTGAAGGAAGTGTTCAAAGATGAGGATTCTATCAATAGGTCTGTCATTGGTTTTGTCCATGATTTCCTTAATAATGGTTTCCTTATTTGGTATGTGTGATTGTACATAGCTTTAACACATTTATCTGATTTTGAATTTTTTTAAGGAGGATATATTAACCTCTTTTGCAGCATTAATTTATTTTCCGATGTTGAATAAGATATATATGGACAGTTTTTAAAACCATCAAAACCAAGATCCTCTTATTTTTGTAAAACAAGACATTTTTGTTTTTATAGTTATTGCCTTAAAGATGCACAAGCACCAAATCTAGCATAGTGGGAATGAATATGTCCTACTTTTTGTTAAGGCTTTCCTATTCTCTTAAGCAACATATATGGTATTGTTTCCTTTCTCTTTGCTCATTCCTGATTTCTCATTGGTTGGACTTCGTTTTTTTGTTTTTTCTAGAACACGAATCTTGTCAACAACAGAGGTATCAAGGCTAATTTGTGATGAACAACTAGCATGCAGAAAAGGCTTCTGAACTGTTTTGTCAACTAGGAAAGAAAATGCTGTGTCCAATTTTGTTTTGAAGTTTGCATAGATTACCAGCTTTCCCAAGTAAGCTCTTGATCACTCAGCAGAAGGAATAAAGGGAAATTTCCACAGTATTAAAAGGTGATTTGTTTTCCTGAACATGTTTTCAAAGCTTTTTTTCTTCTTATATACTACAAATTTTTAAGGCTAATAATGTGGTGAAATTTTTACTTTCAGAAATTCCTTTGTTTGTAGTATATAATAGCTGAAGTGCGGGCTATTGCATTAGCAGTTTAGTTTCTTAGTTTAATCTTCAATAACAGTTTGTTGGCTTCACCATTTTGTTTTAGTTGTCATTTTGTGAATCAATCAATCTTTTGCACCCCTAATCAGCCTTCTTTTGTTGTCTTCAGTGCAGCACTTGGTGATCCTTCAGTTACCATAAGACTATTTTTTCTTTTTCTTCCCATTACATGCTGAAACAAATGAACAACAAAGAAGACATTAAAGAGGCTGACTCACTAAGATTCCTATTCTGTAAATCATCTCATTTGTAGCAGGTAAGCATCTCTTTAGAGCTAACACTGTCATAGTGGTTCTTTTTTGTTGACATTAAAGAGGCATAGCTCAAGGAAAACAAAGAAAATCCTAGCCTTTTGGAAGGAACATACTACATCAGCCATTATCACTGTAGAAATAGGAGGAGGGAGCAACATTAAAAATATTTACTTGTTCCTGAAGAAATAGTCCGCACTTAGCCGAAGTATCAGCAACCTGAACATGGGCACCCACAATCTGTTGGTCTCAGAAATGTTATTATTTGCTGCAACCAAAGAAAGTGCAGGATAAATCCTGTCAACCAATGTTTGTCGTTGTATACATTGGAATCTGAGTAAACTATGAACTTCCTAAGCCTCTACTCCAAGCAATATTAATACCATTGTGAATAGCCATATTGGTCATTTATATATTAGCGACATTTTTCTGTATTTCCGTTTGTTAGAATCTGTTTTATTAGCTGTGTTATTTTTGTCAGGATTTGTGTTTTATTTTTTTCTTATTTAACAAATTATAATTAAAGTGTATGATGGAGATATCCCTGAATAATTCGGATTTGGTTGTCTAGGTGCTATTATTATACTTCCTAAAATAGCTTTCTAGCCTTGTATATATGAATTGTATTCTCAACATAATAGATTAAAAAATTCTACCCTAAATTATAACTTGGTATCAGCGCTCTCAAATTTTAGGAGCCGCCTCATACTGCACCCACCAAAACCCTAGATGGTAGCCTTCATTGCTGCCACCACCCCTTTCAAGACAACATTCATTGTTGTCGCAAACCAAACCCTAGCCGCAGCCTTCATTGCTGTCAATCGTTTTTTTTATTTTGGGTAGCCTTCATTCACTGCATTACGGTCTTTGTACTGCATGGACATGGCAAACCAAATTCCTAAAGTGGTGAATACTATGTCACAGCACACTTAGGAACAACTGAAGCACCTCAACATTGCCTACCGATGGAATGGGAAGAATTATTTGAAATGGGCCCAACTTGTTCGAAGAACTTTGAGAGGTAAAGGGAAAACTAACCACTTGACTAAAGATGCTCCTAAAGAAGAAGATCCCAGATTTACAAAATGGGATGAAGAGGACTCTATGATCATGGCATGGCTACGGAACTCCATGATCCCAGAAATCACTGATACTTGCATGTTTCTTAATTTTGAAAAGGAGATTTGGAATGCCATGGAGCATACATACTCCAAAGGTAAAGATACTGCTCAAATATATGATGTAAAGGTGAAGACTGTCACTGCAAAATAAGGAAACAAGATTATTACAGAGTATACCAATCAACTCAAATCATTCATTATGGATGGAATTAGACCATTACAAGGTCATAAAAGCCAAGTGCTTAGATGATTGAGCAATGCTCAAAGAGTATATTGAGCAAGATAGAGTTTGATTTCTTGGTGGGGCTTAACTATGATTTTGATCAAGTGAGAGCCCAGATCCTTGGAAAAGAAAAAATTCTAGGAATTAATGAAGTAGTAGCTATGGCCAGAAGTGAAGAAAGCAAAAGGGGAATAATGTTGGAAACCCTAGCCATGATAGCTTTTGGATCGGACATGATGGTAGACCCGAAAAAGGGGGAAGGTCTTCCTACATCACTGTCGCCTTGGATATCCTTCCTTTAGGGTCATAAAATCGTTATTCCACTCCCTTTTTAGCAAATTAGATGTAACAAGTCTCAATTGTGAAGTGTGTGAGCTTGCTAAGCACAAACATGTTCCTTTTCCAGTTAGTAATAATACGAGCACTTTTCCCTTCTATTTAATTCATACTGATGTGTGGGATCCCTCAATTGTCCCAAATGTTTCTAGTGCCCGTTGGTTTCTTACCTTTATAGATGATTGTATTCGTGTCATGGGTTTGCTTACTAAAACCAAAGTTCGAAGTCAGTTATGTGGTTCAATGTATTTTCTCCATGATAAAAAATCATTTTGGTGTTAGCATTAAGAGGATTAGATTCGATAATGCTAAAGATTAGTTTAATCATGGGCTTATTTCCTTTTTTCATGTTAGAAGTGGACTTTAAGCCTAACTCAACCCCACAAAACCGGCTTGTAGGGTGAAGTTTGCACCCACTTATAAACTATGAATTGGCCTTATCTTTAGTTGATGTGAGACTTCCAACACACCCCCTCACGTTGAGGTATATACATCTCGAGCATGGGATTAGACATTTTTAATGGGTGGTCCGATAGCGGATGGAACAATATGTCCAACAAACAACAAATATCGTTAGGATAGGCTCTAACATGGCTATGATACCATGTTAGAAGTGGACTTTAAGCCTAACTCAACCCCACAAAACTGGCTTGTAGGGTATGAATTGGCCTTATCTTTAGTCGATGTGAGACTTCCAACATTTCAAAAAGAAGGTATCATTCATGAGTCCTCTTATGTCAAAACACCTCAACAAAATGGGATTGCTGAGAGGAAAAATGGGCACCTTCTAGACCAAACTCGAGCTCTTCTTTTTCAACATAAGGTTCCTAAAAGGTTTCGGGGGAGGCTTCACTGCGTGCTACCTAATTCATAGACTACCTTCTAGTATTCTAGCTTCCAAAACCCCTGTGAAGGTTTTGTCCTCTTTTTATCCTAATGTGTCTACATCCAACCACCTTGTTCCAAGAATATTTGAGTGTATCTTTTATCCATATCCATAGCAATGATAGAGGTAAACTTGATCCTAGAGTCTTAAAATGTGTTTTCATAGGATACTCATCAACACAAAAGGGATATAAATGCTATCACCCACCATCCCAAAAATTCTTTATGTCGAGATATGTCAACTTTTTTTAGCACAAAAGTTACTTCAACAAAGATCAAGGGGAGATTGCCAAAAATGAAGATGATCTCCTTATGCTCCCTGACTTAAGTTTAGGACCAGAAATATGGACTAAAAGTGTAACAATTGAGAAGGAATCCACTAAATCCACTCAAGATGGGGCTGATGTAAGATTCGGTAAAAAAACTGGTATATACAAGGAAGACAAAGGCCATTCTAGAATTTGTCCATGTCCAACCATCCAATCCAACATTACTGGATGTAACTACTCCTAATCCTTTAATGTAGACTGAATCAGCCTTTAATTTTCCAAATGTACATGAACTCATGAATCCAGTTCAGCACCACTTTATGAGGAGCTAGATATTCCAATTACCCTTAGGAAAAGAGACTAGGAAATGTACCACCACGCCACTGTACCCTCTAGCCAATTACCCAGCCTTAAAAAACTTCACACCTACCCATAAAGCCTTCCTCACAAGCCTAAACACTACAACCACACCCATCTCTTTATATGAGGCATTGGGTGATAAAAAATGGAAACAAGTCATGGATGTGAAAATGGAAGCATTAGAAAAGAATAGTACCTGGGATTTGGTTGCTCTCCCAAATGGAAAGAAACCAGTAGGGTGTAAATGGGTATATACTATAAAATACAAGGTTGATGGATCCATTGAGAGGTACAAAGCAAGGTTAGTACCTAAGGGATTCACTCAAACCTATGGAGTGGATTACATGGAAACATTTGCTCCATTGCAAAAATGAATACACTTAGGGTGATATTATCCCTAGCAGCTATTTATGGTTAGAACTTGCAACAATTTGATGTTACAAATGTCTTCCTCCATGGAGAAATTGAAGAGGAGATTTACATGGAATTTCCCCCTGGATATGGTGGAAAAACAATTGCCAACAGTGTTTGTAAGCTAAAAATGGCATTGTATGAGCTCAAACAATCACCACAAGCATGGTTTGGAAGGTTTACTAAAGTTATGATAGGTTTGGGCTTTAAACAAAGTCAAGGAGACCACACTCAATTGACTAAACACTCTAAGTCAAGGGGAGTGACAATATTACTAGTTTATGTGGATGATATTATAGTGATAGGTGATGAGGAGGAGGAGCAACAACTCTTAGGCCAACATCTAGCCAAGAATTTTGAAATTAAGACCTTGGGAAAATTGAAGTATTTTTTGGGAATTGAAGTGACCCATTTTAAAAAGGGAATATTCATATCTCAATAGAAATACATCACACATCACTGATTTGTTGAAAGAAACTGCTAAGACAAAATACAAGCCTACAAGTACACCAATTGATCCAAACCTGAAATTGGGAAACACATAAGAAGATATTGTATAGGAAATGTATCAAGGGCTAGTTGGCAGACTAATATACTTATCTCACACTAGAGCTAATGTTGCATTTGTTGTGAGTGTAGTTAGCCAGTTCATGCACCAACAGAAGGAGGTTCACTTACAAGTTACACTAAAAATTGTGCAATATTTGAAGGGGACTCCAGTCAGGGGAATTTTGTTTGAACGAAATGGGAATATAAGTCTGGAAGCATATACAAATGCAAACTATGCAAGGTCAATTGTGGATAGAAGGTCACCTACATGATATTGCACTTTCCTTGGAGGGAATCTTGTGACTTGGAAGAGTAAAAACCAAAATGTGGTAGCTAGATCCAGTGTTGAAGCAGAGTTCAAGGCAATGGCACAAGGGATATGTGAACTATTCTGACTGAAGATCATCTTGGAAGACTTAAGAATAAAATCGGATGAACCGATGAAACTTTATTGTGATAACAAATCTACTATTAGCATAGCTTATAATCTAGTGTAGCATGATAGAACCAAAAATATTGAGATTGACAAACATTTTATCAAAGAAAAATTATCTGCACTCCTAATGTCTCCTCACAAGACAACCTTGCAAATATTCTAGTGAAGGGGTTGAACAACATCAATTTTGAGAGTATTGTTTCCAAGCTGGGAATGGAAAATACCTATTCACCAGCTTGAAGGAAGTGTTAGAATCTGTTTTATTAGGTGTATTATTTCTGGCAGGATTTGTGTTTTATTATTTCCTTATTTAGCATATTATAATTACAGTGTATGATGTGGATATCCCTGAATCATAGGGATTCAGTTGTCTAGGTGCTATTATTATATTTCCTAAAATAGTTTTCTAGCGTTGGATATATGAATTGTATTCTCAACATAATAGATTAACCGATTCTGCCCCAAATTATAACACCATTTGACTTAAGGCTCTGGTGTGGATTGAAACTACTTTCGGCCTTGCTTTTTAAATTTTCTTAACTAACAACTGGTTTGTTGTGCTATAGGCATTGATAGGTGGCTAGATATTTACCAGAAAGCATGCAAGTGTTGCCACTAACAGTTGCAGTGTTCAACAACCAAGCATACCACCTAGAAATCAGCCATGCGTGTATATGTCCATGTTTTAAAGTTATATGATTTAATGAACTTATATGAGATGCTTCTGACATAATAATTCAGCAGAAAGTGATGTGCATATTTTTGGTGAGGAAAATGATGGAACATTCAGACTTGTAATTTCGGCAGAAAGTCAACTAAAGAATTACTGCACAGGACTAAATCACAAGCAGTTTTCTTCAGTCAAAATTGCCCAACTAGTCATGAGAAGGGTTGTCCCCCAAGTGCATCAGAGGAATGCAACTTTCATCCATAGAGAATGAGAGTTATCTTATTGAATATTATTGTATAACATTTGGTGCCATTTTTGGGTTATTTATAGAACCATTTGCCACTTCTCTCTCTACTTTTGCTGAAGCCTAGTTTCCATTTTATGCTTCACTTATGATGATATTTTAATTTAATTCTTGAACTTCTGATTTGTGAAGATCAATATGACTTTGCTATTACTTTTCCAGACTGAGAATCTAAATTAATATAACTCATTTATCTATTACATACTAAAATGATGACAAATTCATATTTTATATACTAAATTAAGGGTTTACTTATTTTCTCCTCAAGAGAGTAGTACTAAACAATTGAGAAAGTGTAGGTATATTTTTATCTTAAAAAAAGAGGACTTTTTAATTTTGTAATTTATTCAGGATTAAAAGTATGTTATATTTTAATTTTTAATGATAAAAATAATTTCAAAAGCTTAAAATTATAAGCGTGAATTAAAGAATTATCAAGCACAGATAAATATTTATACTTCTTCAATTATCAAATTTAAAATGAATATTCAATTAACTTAAAACTCCACAGTCTATACCTCTCAGGCCCCAAGTAAAGAACATTCAGAAAATAGAACACAACATGCAGATCCTGGTAATAAACTTTTGTAATAGGATAGGTTTGTAGATAATCTAAAAACTGAAGGTTGTTGTGAAGATCCCAAAATCAATGCCACCTCCAAAGCTACAAACTTTCTATTTATAAACGACCAAACTAAGTTCCAGGTAATTTAAAAGAAAATAAAAATTGTTTCTGCAATCCATTAAATTCCTTCCTAATTCTCATAAATTTTCCCATTGCTTCCTTCTGAATTTGTCAAATATCTATATCTATTTGTTCATTACTAATTTTGAGTTGAATTATGATTTTAGTTCCTGAAATTTGAAATAACTATGATGTTGTTCCAAAATTAAAAAAATATATATATTTAACTTCTCAACATTTGAAAATTTTGACTTTAACACTATACTATGAAGACTAAAATAAATTTTGTAAAATTTAAAGTTTAGGAATTGAGGTTTAAAAATGGGTCTAATTTCTCAAAATTTTATATTTAAGGACTAAAGTAATGTTCTGAGAATAAAACAATTAAATTTAACGGACCAAAATCAGAATTACTTTAAATTGCAGCAAAATCATAATTGAACAAAGTTTTTAATTCGTTTCTGAGTAGGTCTCTGTAGCAATTACAAAATAATTTGAAAACATTATCTCATCAATCAGAGTGGCGCAGCGGAAGCGTGGTGGGCCCATAACCCACAGGTCCCTGGATCGAAACCAGGCTCTGATATTAATTTTTTCAATTTTTTCAACTTTCTTCCAATTATTTGTGCAATAAAATGAATTTTTTATTTTAAAATATTTTATGAAATGCCAAAAGTTTCACTGGTTTCTTGTTTAATGGAAATGCTATCTAAATCTTTCATTTTCTTTTGCTACCTTTGGAATAAAATCATTGGATTAATTAACATGGTGTTTCTTTATGTTATACTAACATAAATTATTATATGTTGTTATTTGATACACTTTATGGGCATAATATCCTATTGACATAATTTTGCAAGTTAGAGTTCCCCATTTGTATGAACTCATACAAAAGCCCACACACGAAAACAACAGATAAATCAAATGTTGATAAACAGTTCTATCAAATTTATATATTTTTCATTCACTCTGGGACATGTTCTTGGACCTTAAAATTTGAAAAGGGTTTTAAGAAAAAGAAAATTTTGAAATTCATCACATACCCCACTTGATCACTTTATAATTAACTTCGTGCATTATGCTTAGCTTTGTAGTCTTTATATATAGCATCATGGGTATGTTCTCTTTCTTTCTATTTTTTTGATGTTTTTCAATCACATCTATTTGACTGCTTTTGAATGTATTATTCCTCTCAAGTTGTTATACAGGATTTGTCACCAACTTTTGTTTTCATATCTTTTCAATGTTTTCACCCTACAATTCTTCACTTTCACAGTTAATTTTACAACCATTTTACATTATCTTTGTTCATGATGAAAAGTAATTATGAACACATACTTCATTTTTCTATCCCATTAATTTGTTCATCATATTACACGTTACATTTATCACTTTCTTTTCTTGGTTTCCATCACAAAAAGTTACTCTTGATTTTAAGATTTTCCAATTGGCAATCCTTTCTTTCTATTTCTTTCTTAGTAAACATTTTCTCATCTCTTTATTGTTATTATATACTTTATAGTACAGATTTTATAAACTATAGTTCATAGTAAACATTTCCATTATAATATATACTTTGCTTTGAATATGAATACTTTGAAAATCTCAGCTACATGTTTTTCCTTAAGCAAGTGAAAGTTATAAGTTTTCCACATCCCTTTTTACAACTATTCTTTCTACACCTACTAAAACCAAGAGTTTTATTCTCTCTCTCTTTTCTATTTTCAAGAAGAGTTCAAAACATGTAATTCATTTTATAAGCCTATATTATAAGCAAATATAGGTGTTTATGGTCTTTTAATTGTTTTCAAACTTGGTAGGAACAATAAATAGTCACAGATAATCAACAGTGTATTATAGACCAGACATACTACAATCTCCAATTTATACCATTTTACCATAAATCCAATACATCACAGATACAACATGAAATGCAAACTAGTATCATATTTTAAACACAATAAACTTGCATCCAAATCACAAGTTCTTTTATTTAATTTAACTTGGTTCGCATCCTAAAACATCAAGTGGAATACGCATAGTGAAATGAAGCTGAGACAGTAACATCTTCATCTGGTCACTCGATTTTTAATTCTCACTCCTGTTAGGTTTGTCTGAATTGAAATCCACCTGATGCACATTTATGTAATTTCATTAGAAAAATGAAAAGAAAAGATAACAGTCATACAGTAAAAGAGCAGATTCATCAAAATCCTATACAAGGTTGCTCTGTTACCTCAATGGAAGTAGCAGGAACCCAATCATTGGTTGCTGGGTTGCACATGCAAGAATGATGGCAACCAGTGTCATTATCTGGTTCAATGTGAAAGCTTTCTCCACTTTTCTCTACTTTGATAAATCCTGTTCCAGTCTGTGGATGACACACATATTCATCAATTCTTTAACATCAACAATAAACTATACATATTGTATTCAATATTCATATACAAGTCTTTATATCTTTTATTCATTCTTTTCTGAATCTGCAGCAACAAAAACTCCTTTTAGATTGCATCAATTACACAACATAAATAAATTTGATTAATACTAAATTCTTAAAAGTATCCCATACTCTAGAATTTCTTTCTCTATCTTTTCTTTGCCCATTTTCTCATGGTTCAATAGTCCACTATAAGGTTGGGTAACATTCAATATAAATTTTCCAGTATGAAGAAGCATGGTTTCAATATTTTGCAATCAAATTCACTATAACAAAAAGAAATTAAATCAATGCAGAGATCTATTTATGAGAAACAAAATATATTAACAAGAATGCAAGTGGGATCGGAGTGAATACCGTATGGTGGTGTTTGTCCACACTGTTTAGATCTTTGTAATACTCTGTTTCCACAAATTCATCTGCTACTTCACTCCCTTTGTACACCAGTTTCTGCACATAATTGAAGAGAAAAATATAAGAAATATTAACACAAAGTTCAGTTTGCCTTTGATCAAAACTTAAACATTTGTATATAATAATTTACCTGTATTAGTAAGTCGTTTAAAAAAAGAATAAATTTACCATTCAATTAGAATTTTTTCCATGAGTTTATGTAAAAATAAGAATTTTCTTAGATTCATATCATGATTTGTGATCTCTAATAGATTATCCATGTAAAAATACATAAAAAGTACTACCCTTTTTCCAAATTATGTACAAGTAAAAGCTTTTTACCATAGATCTCTAAAATCTCTTTTTGTTTTCTATTTTTAATAAAAAAAAATGTCGATGAAGTGCAGAGAAAAACGAGGTTAAAATAGAAAATAGGAACCTTCTCTTGGGGATCATTCTCAAGGTGTTGAAAGTGTATGAATTCTGGAATAGAAGATTTTGGGGTACTGGAAAAAGCATCAACATATTGAGTTGAATAGTCACTGCGTTGAGGCTTGGTGTGGCGTTGTGGAGCGACTCCATCAAAGTAGTCTCTGGTTTTGGCCTCTAAGGAAGCTTCTTCCTGTGCTGAGAGATGAACGTCACTCCTGTTGGGCCTTCTGTAAACCTCCATTTTCTTCCTAACTATGAATGTTCTGTGTGAATCTGTGTCTGTATTTGTAAGACTTGGGGGTTGGTGCAGATATTTTTGGATAAAGGTATGAAAAAATATCTGTACGAGGGAGGCTTTTCCTCATGCAAAATATCTATCTACCAATCTTATCCGTTTGGTGACGATAATTATTAAATATTTTTATAAAAATATTTTGTAAGAAATTTTATAGAAATTATTATTATTATTTATAATTTCAACTAAAATATATTACTTTTAGTTCGGTAAAAAAATAATCTTACTAAAAGCTTCATTTTATCTGAATTTTATTAACAATTAAATATGTGTTTACTTTTTAGTAATTATCATGTGTATGATTTTGGAAAAATAATATTAATAAACAATTAAATATTAAAGAGACTTTTATTTTTTAATTTTTATTTAAAAAAAGTTTAGCTCTTTTATAAATATAATTATGATATAACCGAATCGTAAAACACCACCTAAAAATCATATTTATAGCATTTTATTAGTTAATAATTCATTTAAAATAATAATATTATGCTTAAATATAACAGTATTTTTTTAATTTAATTTGGTATGATTGTTATGAATATAAACACCTATACAATAATTAAGAGTAAAAAGTGGTTTATGTAAGATGAAATTTAAATATTTTATTATTAAAATATAATACTTATAAAAAAATTAATTATTCAACACAATCTCTCAAAATTTATTTATTTATTTTATTTGACTTCGTTTTAAGATTCTGAAAATGAATTTGTTTGTCTTTAGAATTCACAATAAAGATTAATTTTATGTATGTGATTCAATTGGATTCAAGATTAATTTTTACTTGTTTAGATTTGAATTTTTATTTAGTTTTTCTTTTGAGTATTGTTTCCTCTACCACCACCAAATGTTCTCTACAATACTACATACCTAATTTGTCCTTCTAAAAAAACGGATGTCAACATCCGTCTCACCTTCAACGGATATCAACATCCATTTTACTTTCAACGAACGTCAACGAATGTGACCACATCCGTAAACTAAAAACCAAAAATGAAAAAAATACTTAACGGATGTGGCACATTCGTTTAACTAATAATATAAGATTTTTATAATAATTAATTAAATAACAATACATAAATTAAATTAATAATAATTATTTTATTAAATAAAATAAAATTAATTTATATATAATTATGTAATAAATTAAAAAAAATTAAATAATATTTATATATTAATTTAAAATATAATAAATTAATAAACTAAAAAACTTAACTGATGTGGCCACATCCGTTTAATTATTAATATAAAACATATTATAATAATTAATTAAATAATAACATATAAATTAAATTAATAATAATTATTTTATTAAATTAAATTAAATTAATTTATATATAATTATGTAATAAATTTAAAATAAAATTAAATAATATTTATATATTAATTTAAAATATAATAAATTGATAAATAAAATAAAAAAACCTAATGGATGTGGCACATCCATTTAATTATTAATATAAAATGTAAAAATGAAGACATTGGGTCCCTATGTTATGAAAAGTGTATGAATAAAGTCTTGTTCGTTAAGTTGACAGCAACGACGTTAAGTCTATGCTGATGTGGTCGTACTTTTTCTCTTCTCTTTTCTGCTGTCTAGCTTTTTCTCTCTATTGTTCAGTTTTTTCTTTGATGATTTGTTGAACTTGTTCTTTGTTTGTGGACCTTATTCATATACTTTTCATAACATAGGGACACAATGTCTTCATTTTTAAATCAGATACTAAACAGAAATTCATCACTTAACATGGAGACGAAATAAGCATTTAAGCCATATAAAATATATTATAATATATAAATTAAATTTATTATTATTATTTTATTAAATAAAATAAAATTAAATAATATTTATATGTTAATTTAAAATATAATAAATTAATAAATTAAAAAAACTTAAGGGATGTATCTGTTTAATTATTAATATAAATATATTATAATAATTAATTAATAATATATAAATTAAATTAATAATTATTGTTTTATTAAATAAAATAAAATTAATTGATATATAATTATGTAATAAATTTAAAAAAAATAAATAATATTTATATATTAATTTAAAATATAATAAATCAATAAATTAAAAACTAAAAAGAAAAGAAAAACTTAATGCATTTGGCCAGATCCGTTTAACTAATTATATAAAAAATATTAAATTAATAAACTAAAAAAAACTTGAATCGGATGTAGCTACATTTGACGTATGTGACATATTCGTTGAAGTATTTTTTCTTAAACGGATGTCGACATCCGTTAAAGAAAAAATGTGGGGTTGTAGGATATTTTAAAATATAAAGGATAGTTTTGGAATTTTTAAAAAATGTGGTGGTGCAGGGAGCAATGTGGGGTGNCTTCAATTATCAAATTTAAAATGAATATTCAATTAACTTAAAACTCCACAGTCTATACCTCTCAGGCCCCAAGTAAAGAACATTCAGAAAATAGAACACAACATGCAGATCCTGGTAATAAACTTTTGTAATAGGATAGGTTTGTAGATAATCTAAAAACTGAAGGTTGTTGTGAAGATCCCAAAATCAATGCCACCTCCAAAGCTACAAACTTTCTATTTATAAACGACCAAACTAAGTTCCAGGTAATTTAAAAGAAAATAAAAATTGTTTCTGCAATCCATTAAATTCCTTCCAAATTCTCATAAATTTTCCCATTGCTTCCTTCTGAATTTGTCAAATATCTATATCTATTTGTTCATTACTAATTTTGAGTTGAATTATGATTTTAGTTCCTGAAATTTGAAATAACTATGATGTTGTTCCAAAATTAAAAAAATATATATATTTAACTTCTCAACATTTGAAAATTTTGACTTTAACACTATACTATGAAGACTAAAATAAATTTTGTAAAATTTAAAGTTTAGGAATTGAGGTTTAAAAATGGGTCTAATTTCTCAAAATTTTATATTTAAGGACTAAAGTAATGTTCTGAGAATAAAACAATTAAATTTAACGGACCAAAATCAGAATTACTTTAAATTGCAGCAAAATCATAATTGAACAAAGTTTTTAATTCGTTTCTGAGTAGGTCTCTGTAGCAATTACAAAATAATTTGAAAACATTATCTCATCAATCAGAGTGGCGCAGCGGAAGCGTGGTGGGCCCATAACCCACAGGTCCCTGGATCGAAACCAGGCTCTGATATTAATTTTTTCAATTTTTTCAACTTTCTTCCAATTATTTGTGCAATAAAATGAATTTTTTATTTTAAAATATTTTATGAAATGCCAAAAGTTTCACTGGTTTCTTGTTTAATGGAAATGCTATCTAAATCTTTCATTTTCTTTTGCTACCTTTGGAATAAAATCATTGGATTAATTAACATGGTGTTTCTTTATGTTATACTAACATAAATTATTATATGTTGTTATTTGATACACTTTATGGGCATAATATCCTATTGACATAATTTTGCAAGTTAGAGTTCCCCATTTGTATGAACTCATACAAAAGCCCACACACGAAAACAACAGATAAATCAAATGTTGATAAACAGTTCTATCAAATTTATATATTTTTCATTCACTCTGGGACATGTTCTTGGACCTTAAAATTTGAAAAGGGTTTTAAGAAAAAGAAAATTTTGAAATTCATCACATACCCCACTTGATCACTTTATAATTAACTTCGTGCATTATGCTTAGCTTTGTAGTCTTTATATATAGCATCATGGGTATGTTCTCTTTCTTTCTATTTTTTTGATGTTTTTCAATCACATCTATTTGACTGCTTTTGAATGTATTATTCCTCTCAAGTTGTTATACAGGATTTGTCACCAACTTTTGTTTTCATATCTTTTCAATGTTTTCACCCTACAATTCTTCACTTTCACAGTTAATTTTACAACCATTTTACATTATCTTTGTTCATGATGAAAAGTAATTATGAACACATACTTCATTTTTCTATCCCATTAATTTATTCATCATATTACACATTACATTTATCACTTTCTTTTCTTGGTTTCCATCACAAAAAGTTACTCTTGATTTTAAGATTTTCCAATTGGCAATCCTTTCTTTCTATTTCTTTCTTAGTAAACATTTTCTCATCTCTTTATTGTTATTATATACTTTATAGTACAGATTTTATAAACTATAGTTCATAGTAAACATTTCCATTATAATATATACTTTGCTTTGAATATGAATACTTTGAAAATCTCAGCTACATGTTTTTCCTTAAGCAAGTGAAAGTTATAAGTTTTCCACATCCCTTTTTACAACTATTCTTTCTACACCTACTAAAAACAAGAGTTTTATTCTCTCTCTCTTTTCTATTTTCAAGAAGAGTTCAAAACATGTAATTCATTTTATAAGCCTATATTATAAGCAAATATAGGTGTTTATGGTCTTTTAATTGTTTTCAAACTTGGTAGGAACAATAAATAGTCACAGATAATCAACAGTGTATTATAGACCAGACATACTACAATCTCCAATTTATACCATTTTACCATAAATCCAATACATCACAGATACAACATGAAATGCAAACTAGTATCATATTTTAAACACAATAAACTTGCATCCAAATCACAAGTTCTTTTATTTAATTTAACTTGGTTCGCATCCTAAAACATCAAGTGGAATACGCATAGTGAAATGAAGCTGAGACAGTAACATCTTCATCTGGTCACTCGATTTTTAATTCTCACTCCTGTTAGGTTTGTCTGAATTGAAATCCACCTGATGCACATTTATGTAATTTCATTAGAAAAATGAAAAGAAAAGATAACAGTCATACAGTAAAAGAGCAGATTCATCAAAATCCTATACAAGGTTGCTCTGTTACCTCAATGGAAGTAGCAGGAACCCAATCATTGGTTGCTGGGTTGCACATGCAAGAATGATGGCAACCAGTGTCATTATCTGGTTCAATGTGAAAGCTTTCTCCACTTTTCTCTACTTTGATAAATCCTGTTCCAGTCTGTGGATGACACACATATTCATCAATTCTTTAACATCAACAATAAACTATACATATTGTATTCAATATTCA